GATTGATTGCAAGTAATACACATGCTAAAGCACAATCCATCACGTAAGAATAGTAGATTTTTCAAAACCAAGTTGTCGGCTAGAGGCTACATAAAAAAGATAGATTTATTATAAAAAAGTATTTTAAACTAAAGCAAAGAATGCTACAATTTGTTACATATGTTCACATGCTGCAATATTTAGTTTGATTATAAATCACATAAATGTAAGTTATTTTTATTATAAAGTATAAGATTAATTTGCGTCTTGTCAACCATAGTTAGTATAACCATAGTAAGGCTTGATCTCTAGAATTTGCATTATTTAGTCCGAATATGAACACGTTTATGTTTAAATCTCATGTGTATCTGGCAGTGAAGAGAGATGGTAGAAAAGCTTGGCTATGAAGGCCTAATGTATATTATCGCTTTAGTGAAATTTTGATCTCGATCGTGGACGTAGCCTCATAGGAAGGTGAACCACATACAATAGTGTGATTTTTGTGGAGTATTGCATGTATGAGTGTTTTTAAATAACATAGCTGAGAACCAACAATTGATATCAGAGCTTGATTTTTACTGTTATGACATTTCATCATACGATTGTTGATCGATTGTATAATCTTTTGAACGTGAAAAAAAGTTGTAGCGGACCAGATTGAAGTTTGTAGCAAGGTAATGATCAAAAGAGTTTGCATTTCAGAGCTATTGCTCCTTCGAGAGTTGGAGGTTCATTTTTTGATAAAAAAATATTTTTTGTCAATTTCTTTCATAGTTTGCACAATAAAGTTGTTGCTTTGTGATTGTTGATTTATATTTCAAGAAACTAGGAGAAAAATGTCTTGCATCAAAGTGATTATTGGTGCTGTTATTGCTCAAATACTTAAATTTACAAAACACGAGTTTCATTATTTAGAAACAATGCGTGGTAGATTATATATAAAATGAGCATTTAGACCGTCATTAGAAATTAGCTAGAGATTTGTTTTGGTTTTAAGAATTGATTTAGGTTTGCATATCTTGCTTTTAGTTGATAGCAAAGTAAATCCAAAGTAAATCTTGTTAGTTACAGTTACCTAAAGTTAAAACTAAAATTTTAGCTAACGTTTAAAAGTTAGTTTTTATAAATTGTTGTTTTACAAAAAGAGTACGGCCGCTGCGGCCGTAATCCGTTATCCAAGAATTACACATGTTGTCATATTGATATTGTGAAATATATGAAAAAAATATTTTGAAATACAATTTTTTCACATTGTTGATTATTGCCACGGAGAAGTAAAAACAGAAAGTCAAACAAAACCTTTTGAGTTTCAAATGTTGCTAGATGATACATATTTTTAGTTGAAAAATAGTAAATAGTAATTTTGCTAAAAACCGCTTCAAAGATTTTACTTGGAGTCAAATTTCATTTTCTTACGCTCCTGATGCTTCAAATCAAAAATATTTTCACACACAATTTTCTTGATAAATCGTTTTCAGATTGTAGTGCAAAACCTTTCAATCTATGCAATGATGCACTTAAAGTTTCATTTTGTGAAACTTCATTTTTTGGTCTTTTTGATGACTAAGTGTTGAGAGTAACGAGTTTATTGCCAATGCATAGAGGAATGAACGAGTTGAGCAATCTCAATATCACTTCAAGTGCATCAAAAGAGAGTAAGACACTATTAGATGACTTCGACTTACATTTCGAAAGGAAAAGCAACCAATGACGGTAAGTATGTTTGGATCTTCACGATTTGAGATGAAAAAATTTAATGAACAGATTGACTATGTCTCATGAGAGTGACAAGTCACTAGTGTACTTGATGTCATGGATTTGTACAAAGTGCTTAAAATACAAACTAATAACAAAGATGATGATGTCTAGAATGACATCTAATACCAGACGATGAACATTGTGATATTGTATCTCAAGCCAAATGTCTTCAAGCAAATGAAGGTGGCGCATACGATAGCGAATTTGTTTGCTGCATTGCGTGATAAGTATTATAAGAAGTAGCTTTCAAATCACAGTTTTGAAGCTCACAAGTAGAGGATGGCGGGAGGTACATAGATCCAAGACCATGTAGATGACTTCAATAATTTGATTGTGGATCTTGAAATGCTTGGAGAAGATTTGAGTGATGAGCGGAAAGCGATTCAGTTGCTAAGTTCTATGCCAACTTCTTATCAGTCATTGTCACGAGTGTTGCTTCACCGAGACAAGTAAATAATCACTTACAATGAAGTTGTTACTTCTTTATTGACCGACTACATGCAACAAAAGCAGTTGATGTATGTGCATCCCTCTTCCGATTAATCCATCTCATCGTTTGTTGTCTTGACAGTCTCTTGTGATAGTACGTCCACTAGAGAGAAAGTATATGGAAAGATCAAGATCAAGTCTAGATCCAAGTCTAAGTTTAGAGATGGTAAGAACATCAAGTGTTGGAAATGTGACAAATCTGATTATCGTAATAAGACAATCGATGAATTCTCAACAAGCGTGGTTGTAGCTGAGGGTTTTGATTATGCCCTTTGTACTTCCGTTCATGTTGGAAACGATGAATGGATTTTAGATTCAACTTGCTTTTATCAAAATTGTCATGTTAAGAAGTTCTTTAGTTCTTACACTCCGCAACACTTAATATATTGAACTTGAGTGAATGACAAAGATATGCACTCTTGAAGAGTAAATCTCCAACTAATATGGCCACATGTAAGAGTGAAAACATATTAGTCATTGATTTTATCTTGTTCAAGTTTACCCGTGATCAACATCCACATATCCCAAAAATGATTTGGCATTCATTGCTTTTGCATCAAACAATAATCTATATAATGTATAAATCTTAAGATATCTAAGTATCCATTTCACTATTTCCCAATGTAACTTGCATGGGTTTGAGATATACCTACTCACCTTAACTACAGAAAAAGTCATATCTGATCATGTGCACACCATCAAATATAAGAGACTACTTATTGCACACTAATAGGGAATGGAAGACATTAAGCCTTTAACCACTCAGAGTGTAAGAAGATCTCTCACTCTGAATGGTAAAAGTGTCACAATTTTACTTTGTCAAAGTCTTACACATTAAGTCCTAAATAGTAGTGGTGGTTCAAATGTTACAAAGAATATAAAAACAAAGATTTGGCAAGAGTTGGCACAATTTAAAAAAATATAATGTTGATAATTCTTGAGTTGATATTGTATGAAAAACCAAGAGGAAAATGTAAATATATCTAACTTCTCATGTTTTACTTTAAAAAAATGCTCATCTGATTAAATCGTCAACAATATAATTTCATGAGAAGATATCAATTTGAGCATAAAGAGTATTAAGGAAATTTTGGTTTTGTACATCATGAATTTTCTACACATGAAAAGAAGAATATCGAAATTTCAACCATGTTGATTTCAAGAGAGTAAGAGTTAAAAAGTATCAACAAATCACACCAAGAAAATCATGATGAAATAATTCAGTGGCTTCTGATTATCTACCATGCAATTAGGTATGTATCGCTTGCTGTGATGTGAGAGTGTGCGTACCTCATATTGAAGAAAACAAGTTGATATACTCGTCAATCAACCAATATCTATATTTCATCGAGAACTGTGAAGTTATTGATGCTTAGCATGTTGCATATGATACAATTCATAGGGGTTAATATTTATACCTCCGGAAGATCAGCATGTGGAAAGGTTGGAGCAAGAGTTTCCACGTACATGCAAACTAAATGGAGAGTTTACATCTGAACATTTGCCTTTGGATTGAAATAAATATACGTATGTATACTTTTGCAGTCTAGTGCACTTCTGTATTTCAGTGCACTATCTCTCACGATAGCTTACCACACTATGTGTCATGTGTATCACACTCTTCATTCATCACTACCACTATCATCTTGTATAGCATATGATGGGGAACTTGCTTAATTAATTTTGAATAGCACTTCATAGCAATCCAGTCGATGATGTTAGAGTTGTTGTACACACATTGAACCAAATACTTTATATATGCTAGATGATCTTCATCCCATTAAGATGCTCTTTCCATCGTGATACTATTAGGGGTTAACCCTGTGGCTTCTGCTGTCTTTGAGGTTTAATTAATGTAAGGCATGATGGAATTTCCCATACTTTTTGTTATCAAACTGCATGACATCCTCTCCCTTACTCGAAAGTTGTTCAATTACATGCCAACTTTGACGGTGAATCGTTAAGCACTGTCATGAGCCAGTATTCAAATCTGCATAAGGAAGAAACCCGTTGAAACTGTCACACTCCGGTTTAGGGTTTGAAAACCCTTCCGGCCGCGAACCTGGAAGCCCTCTTGCCACACTTCCCCTATTCTCCCAGGCCCCTAAGAGCTTATATTCAACTCCAAGCTCCGAGCTCAGTTATCAGTCTCCATGCCCAAGGCGGAGCATTGTGTCGAGGACATTGCTCACCTTCTTAGCTCCGCTCTCCGCTTCTGCTCTCGAGAAGTACATTGTTATGTTTTCGTTACAGTGCACGTGGGCCCTTCAGCTGCGAGTGTGCGCACGAGAAAGGATGTCTGTGGTGTTATCACGGGAGTGTTCTTCCGATTTGGCATTGTGCACAGATGAGTGATTCCTTTCTGGAGTGAAAATCTTCCGTTGTTTCAACCTCTTCACCGATCGTGCGCCGAGCGTTTCTTCAGTTCAGGGGAGGGTGGTAAATTTCAAGTCCCCGCTTAGTCTAGCTTAGGGACGAATGTGGAAGGGGATTCGTAGGACACTTAACTGTTATCTCTAAAATTCTCCCAGAACGATCTGAATTTTGTGCCTGTTGTCTTCGTTAGCTTTCACGGCCGATTCCAAGGAGCTAGCTGAGATCTCCGGATCAATCGGGTAGCGTCCATTTCACCCGGCCCATAGAATAAGGCGCGACTCTTTTCATGCGTACACACTCCGTGTTTATGCGGAAGGAGCGCCGCACACTCTGTTCATGTAGGTAATAATCTAATGTAGGTTTAATAGGTGGGACACGCAAAATCTCAGGGTAACTGAATATTTTCGTAAGGAAATAGCAAATATGAAAGACAATCAATATTCATCCAACTGATGGGAGTGTGGAGCTGAAATCAGATCCCCTGGAATGACTGGAAAAAGAAAGACCCAGTAGTGTGCCCAAAAAGAATTGAAACAGGGCGTTGAGATTATTCGTACTGAGTTCAAAACGACATAATAGTGGCGGAAAGAATAGCAACTCTGTACACTACATTTTCAGATCATAGCAGTGTGCAAGCTCCGCTTCTTAAATGTCACTGACCACTGCTAAAGATGAACCCCAGTACACTTTGGAAATTCAACACGGTCTGTACCCACCAACTGCTACATGCCTAGACGATGATCTAGTTAACATATACATCTCTTGGCACGATAGCACCCAGGATCATGGCATTCCGAAGAAAGCAGATCAGCCTCACGGAACATATGTCTGACACTTCAGTGACAGGTTTATCCCATACTGACCAGTATAAATTACATCAATTCCGATCTTCACTGCGAGAACCGAAGATATTCATAGTCTATATTACACCGTTGAAAATTTTATTGCAGCTGCGAAGACAGCTGGATAACCTCATTTGCCAGAATTTGCAACTATCTTTGCTACATTGGGGCCGAGAGCGCTCACCATTTTTTGACCACTAGTACTAGTGTTGGACTTTCTACAAGGAGTTTATCAGATAATAGCCTCTAGGTTGTCGCTCTTAACTTGGAAGAGCGAGATAGAAACAGCAAGGCTGTATTATCGCTGAATTGCTTAAAAGGAAACAACTAGCTTCCGAGGATTCTAGTGTCAACGAGCACTGGTGTTCAGCATATAGAAGGGAAGCTAAAGAGAGAAGCAAGCTGGACTCAGATGCATCTGTCTCACAAGCACCACACTGGGCATGATCACAAGTGATGGACAGAATCCAAGCTGCAGGTCCAGGTCCCACAGCAGGGATTGCCATGGTCACAGCGCCCAATGGCTCCTCACATTTTAAGTCTTTTTTCTTAGCTTTGAAGAACAAGAAGTCTCCTGATTCCCTCTTCTCTTTGATGACTTTCAAGGCCTTCTTCGAACCTCTCCATAGACCGATTCCTTTTAAAACAACCACCGAAATTTCCTTCGTGAGCACAACAGTCTTGACCACCACGCCGACTCCACTCACAGCTCCCTTGACACTGACAAAGCCCTTACCTAACAGGCTAATCATTCCACCTTTCCATCCCAACGCAACTTCAGACACCTTCAGTACCCCACTGGAAACTTCATAACCCTTCGTAATCAGGTCCCAATTGGAGAGGCCGCTCGGAAAGCTGCTGGTCATACCGCCACCAAACTCTCTCGTCAATTTCACAAGAGTCAAAGCTCCATCAGAAGCTTTGAGACCCTTGGCGAACCTCTCCCGGAGGGTTTTCCCTCCTCCCAGTGAGCTCTTGGCTGCATTTGCCGCTGCTCGATCTCTATACATCTTCGTGAGCTTCCAAACACTGACAAAATCCTTAGAAATTTTGGCGCTGCTGACGATGAACTTGGCAGCTTCATAACCCATGATCACGCCATTCGCAGCACCGAAGCCCATCACGACGCTCTCGGCTGGGGCCGAGAACTTCTGCAGCACTCCGGTGGCCGTTTTCACCCCTTTTACAACACCTGACGCCATCTTCACGCCCTTGGCAAAACCTTTCCCCATAGGCTTCAATCTGACTGACACCCCATCGACTGCCCCGAGTCCTGTTATCGACAGCGTCCTGTTGCTCAAACCGCTAGAATATTTACTGACAAGCACAGATTCTGCCGGAAGTCGAGTTCCTCCCAAATCCAGGCCACTCAACCCGTGGCCGTCTGTACTAAAGGCCTCGCCGATGACCTCCGATCCATAGCTGAGACTGCTACTCCCGTTCGGTGTGGGCTCCAAAGCTTTCTCCACACGACTGGTCTTGGTTCCACTGATTCCCTTGCATTCGCCACTGCCAGAAGATGGCCGTGGCCCGTCTGGACCCGAGGGTCCCTTCTCTGAAGATGATGCCCGAGGTCGAAAATTGTTTCTCAGTTTCCTCGGCCGTTTCCAAAATCCTCCGAATCCCACATCGACCATCCCTGTCGTTCTTCCCACGCTCAGCGAGCAACTGCTCGAGCCTGCTCTACCGCCTCTGGGCACCGAAGATCCCAACCCTCTGTCACTCATGTTCCCAACATCCTTCAAAGCTCGACTCGTGGCACTGAATCCCTTCATCAGCAAGTAGCTGAATTGCAAGCTCCGCAGGACATTCGCCGCTAAGCTCTCGAACATCCTATCCCCTGCTGTTCCTCCGTTGCAGGGATGGAAGAATCCACCTCCAAACGGGCTTCCCATGGCCACGACACGGCCTCGACTACCAGCTCCTGGCCGAAGCAAAGTCCGACGATGATCTTCGGGAAATCCTCCCAATTCCTACCATCAGAGAGCCGCGAATTCCTAATCTCAATCAGCCTGAAACTCTCTCCCCGACGGGATTCAAACGGAGATGGGTGCTGCGCAATTGCAGCCTCTCCGAAACTCCCTAATTACTACCAATCAAATAAAAAATCATCGCTCTCCTCATCCATGACCAAAACAAACTCACGACGGGCGAATCCCCGATGTTTCTTCAGCTGCTTCTGCTTTAGCCACTCCTCGTCGCCGTGCGTCAATTCCGACCGAACGATTCCACTCATTGCGGGAGCATTGGGGTTCGATGGCGACCTTCGCCCGACATCGAAACCTTGCAGTAGACGGGTCTGTTCGCTCGTCCGCAGTCTGGCCGCGACGGCACTCCTGTCGAATTAGCGACAGATGCATCGAGAATTCATGCACCAAGCTCCTTCCTGGCGCATAACGCCCATTCGTTCATTCGTTCGAGGTCGTGGAGCTGATTGCATGGAAAGCTCGATCGCCCTTCGGCACGTCGTCAAATTCCCTTCGAGCTCGGCCGTGGAATCCCCTTTTTCTCCGAAAGCGGGTCCGTTGAAGATTCCAGACGCGAACATTTTATTCCCTTTTTTTCTTAGTTTCTTTGTTTTGATTAGATTATATTTTGTCGATTATCGTCATCACCCTGATAGTAATTTCAAATTTTTACCTTCAGATGTGCCCCCATGATTCTAATGTAGCCCTTGAATGCACTGCTGCTATTTAGAAAGCTGAGAATTAATCTCATATTAATTAGTGGCAACAACAGACTGCTCTTTGAGGCAGATAGCTTGTACTTCAAAAGTGTTTTGCGGCTGGTGGATTGAATATCCAGTGGCTGTGCGTCCGTGCATCAAGACAAAACAACTGGAAACAACAACTCATAATTCTTTTTATTCAGGCCGGAATCATTATCGCACATTCTTTAATGATTCGATACGGAGAAGTAAAAAGAAATAAATAAACATCGTTTTCTTCCATCGATAGATTCGAATATGGACTTGAAAAGAAATTAATCCGGCAATTTACTTATGTTTCCTTCCAAAACTAACCTCTGAGACTTTCCTCAAATGCCGATTATCTTTCTACATGTACAATGTGATTTAGAAAATTTACCGCCGATAATTAGATGACAATAAATCCACCGGAGAGAACTACAAACGCTGATGAAACGTACCTTGTACACCAAATCTCACTCGGCTGTCAGCCATCTGTACTCGATGTTACGATGCATGAGTTGGCCGTGGGATGTCATCCATATCCAAGTCAACCAGTCCATTTATTGATAAAATCAATAAATTTTGGCGAAATCAATCATGTTGATGGTTTGATGCAATAACATCCGATTTTTTGTGAGTTTAAATATTGGCACTAGATTGTATTTGAAATGATTTTCGGCAACCCGAAGTGACATGTGGAAATCTCGAGATATTTGCTTGATAGGACCCATCAAGTTTAGTTTTACCTGATGGGACCCTAACGACGATACAAATTAGAATGTTCTAGTATGAACAGACGGCGTGAAGTATGGCCCAGCGGTTGCCGCTCGACGAAAACATCTCTTCGCGCTCGGAGAGCAGAGCGAGGAGTACTAGGCCTTAAACGATCGCACTTCCCTCCTCTTAGGTGACTGACTCGAGAAGTGATGAGACGAGCTCGCTCGAGCGTGGGAGCTCGCCGGTGTGGAGCTGAAGGTTGTGTTGGCGGTGGTGGTCATGAGCAGCAACATTTCTGGGCTCTTTGCTGCGGCTGTGAAGTGAAGTCTTGATCGTCTCTTGCACCTCGGATTTGACGGTGCCGGAAAGGTATCGTCAGGCAGCGGATATGGAATCCCAGGTTACCGTGAGGGAGTATCGATAGATAATTCGGTGTCAGTACGGGTTTGATCGGGAGCTCTGATTGGGTCGGCAAACCGCAAGGCCTTGTTGCACTGTGTGCGTGTAGGAGTTATATCGTTGCGCGCCACGACGAATTTGGAGCTGAATCGAGCGATCTGCTCGGTGGACGGTGAGCACCATAGAATGTTTCTTGGCTCGGCTCTCGGATCTTTTGAAGTATGAACATATTTTTTAAAGAACAAATACAAGAACACGCAATGAGAACATATTCATATTAGAAAATATACTAGAACTCATTGACGGCACACCGTCCATGGGGTCCCATCGGGTAAAACGAAACTTGATGGGTCCCATCAAACAAATGTATCTGGAAATCTCTAATAGAGACTTTCACTTGTAATAGGAATCACCTCATTATAATCAAATTAAATCTTATAATTAAATTAAATCAAAATAGAGAGATCCGAGGCCATATATAGAGTCCATGATCTAAACTTGACCTAGAAGATTTGTAGCATTTCACATGATCAGGTACATCGAGTTTTCAGGTTGAAAATCAATGATATCCTTCATAGGAAAGCCCAAATTGAGTGAATAGAATCATCCGTGGGAGATCACAGGCTTGATAAATTCCAAGAATAAAATAACCTTTTTTGTATGCTAGCTGAGATGCTAGTGGAGGGAAAGCCAACAAGATGCTGCTCGCTTCAAAGTCCAAGTAAGGTCATGATGGGCAAGCCCAATTATGCTGTGTGGCGACTTCAGTACTTGATGAATCCCTCAAGGTAAAGAAAAAGTATATTGTCAATGACATAATAAAAAGAAAGTAGTTTGATTCCTAGAGATTTTGTTCGACTCGCAAATCCACTATGTAGATTGCTAGGGAGGCGTCTTGAATTACGTTTTTGAAGTAGGCTAGTACTTTACAAACATATATTGCTGATTTTGAAAAGCACCTAGTTGAGTGACAATAAAGTGCTTAGAAAGACACTTCTGAAGGAAGTCACGGGATTTACTCTAAAAGTTTTTTGAGCTTTTCAAAGCAGTACGTTGACTGACAAGAAGGGCGGTGAATCTTTGAGACAGCCGTTTAAAACATGTCAAGAGAAAAAATCAACGAAATATAAAAATCCACCAAACAATGACATAGTGTTGTGAAATTTAATAGTCTATATCAACAACCGATATCTAACAAGTCCAAGTACTCTAGAAAGAAGACGGAACTTTGAAAGTGAATTTGGAACATAATTACATACCTTAGTTTCTTCCATGGAAGGGATGCGTGACGAAAAGGAGACATTTTTCTCAGTCCAAGTCCTACATATACGTTTATACCCCCATTCCGAAGCCAATTTCATTCTCAGAGACCTCATTTGCTCGTGCATTTGTATACAGTCCTCTTCGCTTACATCGTAGACAAGAGACAAATCTACCAAAGTCTTCCATCGTGTATTTTAAAAGCCTTCATAGACTTCACGCCAGCAAGACATAGCTGTTTGCCGGTTCCAGGTGGAATTGTTGAAGAAAGTAGCAGCATCAAGAAACATTTCTTGCTATTTAGGATTCAAACGGTCGTAGCTCACTTGCAACTTCGACCACAATCGTTCTTCGAAATTGACTATACTTTTTGCTTTATCCAGTGCGTGAAAACACTCTCCCCAAATCTTTATATCGTTTTTGCTTTTCAGATAACTACCCATCACCACTAGAGTTAATGGTAATCCTTCACATTTCACTACAATCTGTTCCACAATGGCAATCCATGGCAACGACAATGGATTCGACAACGACCATGAGTCCAATGTCGGCGGAGTAGAATTCGGATAAGGGAACGCATGGGCTTTAAATAACTCATTGGATTTCTTGTGACTCAAGCAATCCACAAGAAAGACTTTTGCTCTAACATCTGTATCTCGAGAGGTCACAATGCATCTGTTCAAGATTTCCCTATTTCGAGAGGTAACAATGTAACGACTGTACCCACAATCAAAATCCAAAGATATGTCGAAGAGAAAATCAACATGAGACTCCTCAATGTCATCTAAAACGAGAAGAAATCTTGACCGCAGTTTGACACGTTCCCCTCCTTGTTCAACCTTTCTGCCATGGTGATGCGTTGACGAATACATACTGCGTCTCATCTCATCGAAATCTCCCTTCAAGTTAGATCCCGGAATGAAACAAGTATAGTCGAATTCCGCACACAAATCATTGAACAACAGCTTTGCGAGAGTTGTTTTCCCTACACCGCCCATGCCGTGAAGACCTCCTATTGGAGCTGCGACTAAGTAGTTTCGAACGGTTGCGAAGAGTTTTGACCGTAAATCCATTGCCATCTTTGGCACCTTCTTGAGCTCGTGAAAAGATCTCATCCCTGTATCCAATCACAATAGCCAAAAGCAGTTTAGATCCGTGGGCCAGGAGAAATCTCACCCAACTAGAATTGCCTCTTGCCTGAAAGCCACAATTTGAAATTTTGTGGACAACAAAACACTTATCTGGTTTTTTGAACCTATTTTGACTCCAAAATTTGTTACATATATATGTCATATCATAAATTCATTAGGAGTGAATTGGAAGATAGATTTGATCTTTGCATATATGTCAAAAAATCTATTTAAGGAAAATATAATCATTTTAGATATATCTCATTTTTAGAAATTTATGAATCATCTTTAAATGAAATTCTTTCCTAAACCTAGTGTTACAAATATGTATTAAAAAAGGTAAATACATGAATCACATTTTTTTTGTTTAGGTAATTATATGTCAAAATTTTGTACATGCTAAACAAAGAAAGTTTTCTAATGAGGTGAACCTATCCCAATTTAAACAATTTGATCGAATGCAACTTATCAAATATTACGCAGTTCTTTGTTTGTTTATGTGTAAAGATCTAAGTTGAAATTTAAATGATATTTTTACAAATGTATCATGAATCACATCAATTTTCTAGTTTTTTATTGAATTATTTTCAAATACCAAATCACTTAACTAGATCAATTGCAAAGTATCATGAATCATATCAAATTGTTTTGTATTGTTGGTTTTTTTTTTCAGATAGATATATTTAAAAGAATCAATTGCAAAGAGTTTGTTAACTTTTGTTATATAGAAATTATATTCATTTTTCTCCACTTCAATAGGTTAATTTGTACATTCAAGCCACACCATTGAGTTTCACAATTTTGAAGTGTATGCAAATCAATTGAATTTTGAGATTATTGCTAATTTTTTTTTCATTCACTAAATATACACATAATTTTATCTTCAAGTTAACATTTTATTTTTATCATTAGATGATTTTTAATGCATTAAATATGAAAAATATGTAATGATTAAATGCATTTTATTGCAATTATTTTTCGTCACTTGTGGTTTAGACAATGATGTTGATCATTTTCGTGTAGATGAAACATACTCAATCTTATTTATTGAAACATTTGAATCAATAAAAGCCCTTTGAAATTTTTCTTAAAGTATTTTCAAATTTTAAAAAAAACTTTTTGGAATAATGTGAAAACATTTTAAAATCAACAAAAATTGAAATTCGAATGAGTTTGGTAATTAAGAGGTTCAAAAAATATATATTTTAAAAGACACGAGAGGTGAAAAAGGAAATATTAGAATAAATTTATGAAGTCACTTTACAACAAGATGCTTAGAAGTTTTGAGAATGAAGCAGTATTCATGCCATAGCGTTTAATATATTTAGCTGACAAATCTATTTAGTCTTATCAATTTTGTGTAGGGCAACGCTCAACACAACGCTAGTGTTGTTATCAATATAGTTGACATAGAATAGCTTTTCTTATGCTAATTGAATTATGTATGTAATCATCATATTCACATCATTTTTTGACTGCATCTCCAGGTAAGGTGTGTTCATCCCTTATACATAAAAATCAGGGACTTCTTTGAGAAACAAAAAGGATTTTTCCTTGTATGATCATTTTCACAACTACTCGTATTACTTGCATACATTTTTTATTTAGATTTTGTTGAATAAAATATTTGAAATTGATATTAACATCTAATATTTTAATGATTATTACCATCAATCATTTTGATGATACTAAAGTAATACAAATAGGAAGGTAAAGATCATCTTTCATTAAAATTTATGGCTATACTTTTGAACATATGAACTGTATAAAAAACATCATAATGAACTATAAATGAGTCCATAAAGTTAATCTAATTGAAAGTGTGTTCGGATGTTGTAGCACATTTATAATCATGACAATCTGGTCTTCATAACAACCAATATTACACTTCAGAACAACCCAGTTTGTTAACACGAAAAGTTTCTTGAATTCTTGCTCTTTTTCCAGCCGTTACCTTGATCATTGTGAAACCATATCAGATTGTGTTGCTAGCATTTATATGGTATAACGTCGATTTTGAGCAAAATTCTTGACTATCTCAGAGAAATTTTACTCAAATCACCAAAGATAAAAAAAAAATTGGCATCAAAAAAATAATATCTAACACGTCCCCACATATGTTGAATTCGACATCAACAGCTATTGATGTAGAAGACTGTAAGCAAAAGCCATTTGAGAAGCAAATTAGAGTTTTTATAACATACTTTGTTTTCTCTAGATATGAAATATCTAAAATAATATATATATATATATATATATATATATATATACACATATACAATTTCTTTTCTTTCATGATTGCTTTTAATTCTATGAATTTCCTTGACAACATTTGGAAGGCTATGATTACATACACTAATGGTATGAGTACAATATTAGATGACTTCAAGTATATGGATGTGTAGAGCAATCAAAATTTGTTCTTAAGCTTTGGACTTATATTGCATTTTGTAGCCTATGGGTTTGCATTTCTCTACGGAGAACAGTAGTTGAGGACATATACAGTAGAGAAGTAATGCTGTACAATATCTACTTGCTGTTAAATCACCATCATGTTATTATTTGGGCTACCCCCAAATTGATCGTTGGGTCTCATCCATGTGTGTTGATGGTACATGCTTTTCACTTTGGCCTTCTAATTCTTATTTAGTTCTAACCAAGGGTTGCATGGTGGAGTTTTATTGGGTTTGAATGTTTAATCCAATGTTTATAATGTCACATAAACGAGGTTTAATTTGATTTTAATGAGGTGTATCTTATTACTAGTGTAAATCTTTATTAGAAATGCCTAAGTGCCAATCATTAAACCCACCAAAACATTGGATGTTATTCGTTAAATTATAACACTATTAATTTTGCTAAGATTTATTGATTTTATCCACCCCTAATTATAATAGCGAGAGGAGACTCCAATTGTCCTTTCTGCAATATTATTCATATTAAACTTTAATGCTCTGCCGGAAACTGCAATGATCGGAGATTGCCTAGGTTTCTGGAAAAACAAAAAAGTGTAGATGCCTCGCAAACTTGGAAATGAAGGCTGAGGTGGAGACTGAACGGACTTCTAGATGGAGACGAGACGAGCCTCTTCAGGGAAGCTTTGATTTCATCAGAAAAGTACAGATTCCATAGAACTAACGATATCTCTCGGGAGTTATGGTCACAGTGTAGTATTGCCAGTGCCATAGTTGCGCAGCTGATCGGATGCATGGCTGTCTATTGAGTCAGTGGGAAATTTAAAGCGAGCTTCTCGAAAACAAAAACCCTAAGATTGCACCCAGCTACGGCTTCGCTCCATCATGGGAGGTCGATTGGATGAATTGTCGTTCTCTCATTATGAAGTGCTGGGAGCCGATTTGAGTGCCGATTATGGTGAAAGTGAAGATGAGGAAGGTCAGGCGGCAGAGTGCACTTACCCAGGCGGATGTGGTGATTTGTTCGTGGTTTCCATAGAAGAGCTGAATGAAGCTGGATTTACAGGAATGACTTGTCCAAGTGGGATTACAGATACCTGCAAAACTCCAGAACCACTGAAAGTGCGCACAGAGAGAAGTTCTCAGTGGCAGCGGAACTCACTAGTATTGCCCTGCCAATCATGCTCGCTACATATTCGGTTACACCTCCTCTTGCAGTAAGCTTGAGCAAGCCGGAAGATTATGATTACAAAGTCTGGATGTGGCAGTGGATCTTGCACACTTGGGAAGGTGGAAAGCTGGCCGGGGCAGGTGTTCCATAGGTGAGTGTCGTTTAGAACTACCTGCAGTAAGTGAAGGAGTGCATCCGCACTCATGGCGCCAGCGCTTGCGATGAGACATGATCGACTGTCCATTCTCCTGTCAAAAATGAGGAGCTGCATAATATGCCAACTTGACGATTGTTCCCAAACTTTACTAAAATGGTACAGTACACGCCTGTGCTTCTCCAGCAAAGTGGGCTGGATTGGAATGTTGGTGTGGACCAGAACTTTCATGTGATGGAGACTCTTGTGGAGAAGAGGTACGTGATTTTTGAGTTTGTAGATAGCCTGTCAAGTACTCATAAAGCTAAGGATATATCACATAGTCTAACACTAGAAATTTAGCGATTTTGGACGTGGCTCAAGGGTCTAAAAGTATCATCAAACTCTTTGCTGTATTTTTTTCAGAAGATAACACGTATAATCGCTTCCAGCGCGACGACCTCCTTCAGAAGCGTGAGGTATCATGGCTCTCCTTCCTAAGAAACATTCTCACGGGCTCTGACGAGATCTTGAAGGAGCGGGAGCAGAGGTGATACCACTTTCTACGTGGATTGTAGCCTCTGGAAAGTTTTTCCGCATCCATTAAATTTTAGCTCGTATATTTTTTACTCCCTTCGTGGTACCTACTGAAGTCTTACTGAACTTTGATCTTGAACTTCATCTTGAACTTCATCTTCATCTGCACTCTCAACTACGTAGACCAGCATTGAAGCTCTCTTTTCTTCAGGAGGCATACAAGTGGATTACATGTCCACTTCGCATGTGGAACGATTCTGTCTCTGATCTGCAGCTGCTAATCGAACCTTTTACATTTCTGGCATAGTCCGGGCCGCGGCTCGTATTGAGTCTTTGTACTTGAATCAATTCTTGCCGTTCCAATCGCACAATCTAAAGGAGTGTCACTTTCTAGAACACCCGAACCCTTCATCTTTTCTGGCTGCGGCAGCATGTCTCTTTGCTTCATCCTGATGTGTTGTGAAATTGATGTTGATCTTCACTTCCCTAATGTCGTCTTTGTAGGGTAATGAGGTAAACTGCCTGAGAATTTATTTTTTCCATGAACCGTGAAGAGTGATCTTTGCCTTTAAACCCTACCATACATCTTCGGTAGTCGAAAGTGGATTTGCAATGGTGAGTTTTACAAGCAAAAAGTAATGTAAAGGCCTTCGGCCGTACATATCCTAAAGATTAATTCTCAAGACTTTGCAGCGGAGTTGCTGTGATACTGTAATTCGGGTGCACCATATGAAATCGAGTCCTCGAGTAAAGAGTTGTTCACTTTAGCAACAGTACCGGTCTCTTATGAAATGGACGCCTCCGTCCATGTTGTCAATCACATATTCAACACAGTACTTCAATTCATCACTAATCGCATTGAGAAACAGCCACTGCAACGAGTTCACTAATATGCGTCGTGTGTTATGGTCCATTACATTTTTCGTTCGAAAACTTTCTGGACGGAAAATCGGACGCTGGAAATTTGGCATTCGTGTTTTGTAGACCTCGTACCCGAATTGAAGAAAATAAAATTGACTGTTGGTTGTCACTGTCAGTCGATGCGACTGCAGGAAAACCAAGCAAAATGTCCCTAGCGTTCAAGATGTCGAGATCTGCTTCACTGTAATGTCTAAACTGTGCATGGCCTACAGATTACTATTACCCAGAACTTTTAAATTATCAGTGTACTTGCCCTTTCCCGAATAAGAATATGTTCTCGAATATCGGCAATAGCATGTGCTCAATTTTAAAGCACGCGAAGCGTGGTCATATGGAAGTGTCTATAAAGTCTTCCACTCTTCGTAGGATCCACTTCATTAAAATCGAATTAAATCTCATCTATGTGGCCCCGGACACATCAGGTTGAACCCTAAAACCTCACCTGATATAATATAAGTGCGCCGTGCAGGCTAGCACGGCGCACTTATATCAACGAGAACCTGCACAAACTCAAAAAACCAAGCTTGTGAAACAACGAAGAGAAGTTCAGTTATTCACACCTCAAACAAAGTTTTGTCAACTCCAACAAGAGCCAAGGTTTTGGAGTTCACATAAATAAGGTTTAATTCGATTTTAATGAGGTGGAAACTACGACGAGTAGAGAGACTTTCACATCTCACTTTTGCTCGACGAAGTCATATTAAAAACTTTGAGTGTCAACAAATATTGGATGTAATTGTATTAAACCATCAACTCTCAATGATTTTGCCAAAATTTATTGGTTTTATCCACCCCTGGCAAGAACAAATTACAAATCTAAAACTTATGAAAACCTCAAACAAGCTTTCACCCCCATCACAACCACCAGCAGATTACGGCTTCTGTACTTTGTTTTCTTTGCCTTCCGCCTATACTTAAATCTAGTGCAACAAGACTATCGTTTACTTGTCATATAACCAGATTTGAACCAGCTCATCCATAACTGACACTCCGACTTTGAAGATAAGAATACTTCAAAGCAATCTCAACTCGCACGGTTTCCAATAAATAATTGTAAGATCCAAGAAACTACCATCAGGCTTGCAAAACTATGCATGTACACGTAAAATTTGACCAACAAGACATTGCCGTCTCTACGTCTTTGACTTCAAAATTTGTTGCGTATCGAGGAAGAAACATTTATACATGATTGTGGAACAATAGTCATAAGGACAATCCAAAAAGTTGAATATGGTTAGTTTAAACATGGCTAAATCTACTTACTTATTTACTAGACTTAGATAATGATGATTAAGTTTTGCCATTAAATATTAAAAAAAATAAAATTTAAGAAAATTCTAAAAGATTTGAACTGAGAAATTCTATTTTGTATTACATTCAAGGCTAGATTTTAATAAGAGTAGATTTTAATTAAAAATTAGTTTTGATTGGCTTGATTAAATAATAGACATCACATTGGACTAAGTTCAAACTAACTTAGTAACCTGAATCATTTTTCAAAACTTATAAGGTTTCCAATGTCAATTGGGCCACATCAATTTTGTAACCAAATTATTTTTGGAAAGTTCAGGTAGTTTAATGACATGTTGCAAAGAATAGAAAACTAATCAAACTAATTTAATTAATTATGATTTATGTTTGTAAAAGTAAATTATGAGTTAATTATAATATGCTACTATGATAATTTCTCAAATTACATAAATAGAGAGTTAGAGAATAAACTCTGAAGCAAGTTTGGAAAGTTTATTGTATACAGAATTATTTCATTGATGAAAGATTAAGTTTCTAACATACTCATAAAACCTGGGATTTTTCATAATTATAGACATTAACTCGTTTGTGGATGCTTTTTTTTTTCATTTTGAGATTTTCCAAAATTATAGAAATTAATTTTATTTTTAGATGCTTCCTTGTTTAATTTTGGTATATCTATGCCATTTTTAGAGAATTTATTGAGAGAATGATTACAAACGCTATCATATTAACCTCGATTGCTCTTTGTATTTACTCTAAGAGATATACTCTAGCAAGAGTTTAATCATTTTTCACTATAAAATGCTTTTAGGTCAAAGTATGATTCAACATTTCTTGATATCTAAAAAAATATTTTTCTTTCTCTTTTTCTTCTTAGATAGAGTTTGACATCCATTTGTTGTATTTGATTTTGATACAATTTGAGGTGGAATTTGATACATTTTTTCTTCATTTTTTGCTTTTGCACGTGGTGAACACAAAATAATCCTTATGTGGAAATAACTTTCTTACTTGTATCAACTTTAATGATATGAAGTCATTCTAAATTTAAATTACAATGACTTCTTGCATTGAGATGAAGTGAAGTATTTCTTAACCTTTGTACCTTTGAGTTAGTGCAATCAATCGCGTGATACCTGAAACAAATAAAATTTGTAATTTAGCGCTCCAGGTTGAATGAGGTTTAGTCATACATTTTCTAACATGTTGCGTGACAAAAAAATAATTGAAATTAGTGGGACAAACACGCTGTATTTAGTTTAAGGATTTTTCCAAATTTACTTTTGGTTAATTTTAGAATTTATAATAGAATCCCAAAACTTATGAGTTCTAGTTTATAAACATCTTGAAATGTCAATGTGTGTGATATAGAGTGATGAATGGAAAGATTTTGTATGAGTGTGTTTATGACACGGACATGAAAAAAAATTAAAATGTTCTAGACACATTATAAACTATAGAAAATAGATATGATATTCACATTGGAAAACAAAAAAGCGGAAGATGTGTTTGAGGGTTGTATATACTATGTGTACTCAATATTCTCTTATGAAATCTTAAAGTTTATTTTATACATTTTGTTCACCTAAACACGTCGTTTTGGAAAAGAAATGGAATTAAAGACTAATATTACTTTATTGAAAGTATTATCTAAGATTATTAGTTATTATAGAATGGAAGGTGAGATATATCATAATTTTTATTTCAAGTTAAGATTTTATATTTCATTAAACTTTTGAATCTTATAATTTCAAGGATTTTTATAAGTAAAAAAAAAACAATTCTCAAGAAATTGTGTACAATGTAAAGTAAATAATTTATAGTAAAACTCTGAAATTTTTTGACTATGAATGAAAACATAAATTAAAGTGCAGTCAAAATTTCTTTGAGATGTTAGATTTGAAAAAATATTGTTATTTTGAAATTTAGAGTATAAGAAAAACACAAAATCAAAACTATATTGATGGCTAAAAATTTTAGAAATATATATATATATATATATTGAAAATTATATTTTTTGTTTATAAAAAATTTTATCTTATTTTCTTTGTAAACAATGTAAAATATAATGTTATTGTAAGTCACATAATTGTAATTATGTTATTTGATATGTACATTACATGTAATGTTTAAATTTTTTATGCATCAGATAAATATATTTATATAAATTTCAAAAGAATGTTAGAATAAAAAATTTTAAAAAAAACCTAAAAAAAATTATTTTTTGAATTTTGATAGATAGAGAATATTTTAAAGACAAAATATACATGATCTATATTTACAATAGACATGATATGGGTCAACTTATAAAAAAAATTCCAAATTTAACTTACTATTTACTATGTGTTTACATTCGATGGATTAGTCTTATGAAATTTTACCTTTAAAATAAGAGAAATACGATAATTAATTTTTACTAACATAAATTGAGTGTATAATAACAAAAAATATCAATTACATTCTTTGTTTAGATCTTTTTAAAATTAAATGATGATCTAAAATATTACAATTTAAATTTATGAAATCCATAATAATAAATTTAATGGAATATATGAAAATGAAAATAAAACACATCAACATCTAAAAATGAAACCTACTTCACTATCTGACTTAAACATCATTTGGACCTTCAAATTTGATGATGATATGTTATTGGTATAACTCGGTACTTCAGGAAACGTATGGATTGCAGATCCCTAAACTTACTATTTGATAGGTTGTTCTCCTGTCCACAACGCCCGCAACTCACTTTCTGACAGATTACCCTCCGACTCTCTAGTTTGGACTATCAGATACCTTAGTCTTGGAAGTCTTCGAATAACATGCATGGAGGCTGGAAAGACCTCAGCGCTGCGACAGTCGCGGAAGTCCAAGTTGGTCAGGTTGGGCAGATCCCCAAATGAATCCGGCAATTCCTTTGTCATCGCGCAACCCACCATTGACAAACGCCACAGTTGCGAAAGGTTGCCAAAGGAATATGGCAAGGCTCTGAGGCTAGACATATTATCAAGATGCAGGTCTTGCAGCCGATGGAGTTCGCCGAAGCTGTCAGGCAATTCAGAGATTTTAGGCGCATCTGATATTACCAGCCTTTCTAGGTTGGACAGAGCTCCGAAATCCTGGGGCAATCTTTGAAGATTGTGCAGTGACACAATCTTCAAAATCTGTAGGCTGTGGAGATTGCCGAACGAGTTCGGCAATGCTTCAAAGTCATAACAGTAATGAAGTTCCAAATAACGCAGCTCT